GGTAGTCAAAACAGCCTGGTACTGGTACAACAACAGATACATAGACCAATGGAACAGAATTGAGAATCCAGACATAAATTCATCCACCTCTGAGCAGCTGATATTTGACAAAGGCTCAAAGCCTGTTAATTGGGGAAAAGACAGTCTGTTTGACAAATGGTGCTGGCATAACTGGATATCTATACGCAAAAAAATGAAACAAGACGTATACCTCACACTATGCACGAAAACTAACTCAAAATGGATCGAAGACCTAAATATAAAATCGAAAACAATAAAGATCATGGGAGAAAAAATAGAGACAATGCTAGGACCCCTAATGCATGGCATAAACACAATATGAACCATAAGTATGTACAAACACCAGAAGAGAGACTAGATAACTGGGAGGTCCTAAAAATCAAACACTTATGCTCATCAAAAGACTTCACCAAAAGAATAAAAAGAGAACCTACAGACTGGGAAAAAATTTTTGGCTATGACAAATCCGATCAGCGTCTAATCTCTAAAATCTACAAGATCCTGCAAAACCTTAACAAGAAAAAGACAAATAACCCAATTAAAAAATGGGCAAAGGATATGAACAGGCACTTTGCCAATGAAGATATTCAGGCGGCTAACAGACACATGAAGAAATGCTCACAATCACTAGCCATTAGAGAAATGCCAATCAAAACTACAATGAGATACCATCTCACCCCCACAAGGCTAGCATTAATCCAAAAAACACAAAATAATAAATGCTGGAGAGGTTGTGGAGAGACTGGAACACTTTACACGCTGTTGGTGGGAATGTAAAATGGTACAACCACTTTGGAAATCGATTTGGTGCTTCCTTAAAAACTAGAAATAGAAGTACCATATGATCCAGCAATTCTGCTCCTTGGAATATATCCTAGAGAAATAAGAGCCGTCACACGAATAGAGATATGCCCACCCATGTTCATTGCAAGATATATGCACACCTATGTTCATTGCAACACTGTTCACGATAGCAAAAAGATGGAAACAACCTAGGTGCCCATCAACGGATGAATGGATAAACAAATTATGGTATATTCACACAGTGGAATACTACACAACAATGAAGAACAACGATGAATCTGTGAAACATACCATGGAGGAATTTGGAGGGCATTATGCTGAGTGAATTTAGTCAGTCACAGAAGGACAAATATTGTATAAGACCACTCTTACAAGAACTCAAGAAGAAAACATTCTTTGATGGTTACAATGGTGGGGAGGGAGGGAGAGGGCTTTTCACTAACTAGACAGTATGCAAGAATTGTCTTAGTTGAAGGGAAGGACAGCACACACTCCAGGGGATGTCAGCACAGCTGGACTAAACCAAAGCTAAGACGTTTCCTGAATACAATCAAATACTTCGAGGGGCGGGGGTCTGGGGACCATGCTTTCAGGGGACATCTAGGTCAACTGGCATAACAAAGTTTATTAAGAAAATGTTCTGCATCCTACTTTGGTGAGTGG